AAAATTGCATTAGATAGACCACATCAGCTCTAGATTATTAAATATGGTTTATGGGCAAGCAGATGGTGAATACTGGATAGCATATGTTCTGTATCAGAAACTAGAGCTGGTGTGGTCTACCTAATGTAATTTTCTGAATCAGCACCCCAAATAACCAAATCAAATCTAAAGTTGACAAAAAACTGATTCGTAACCCTTTTGGTATTAATGTTGGAGAGTGGTCCCTGGTAAAATGTTCCCTGGTCAAAATAAAATAAAATAAAATAAAATAAAATAAAATAAAATAAAATAAAATAAAAAGGTTGGGAACCATTGCTCTTGTGGTTAGACCGGCTCCCTCATTATTGTTCTTCCATTAGTAAGCCAAGAGCCTTTTTATATTATTATTCTGACAGGCTTTGAGGCACTATTTTAAAAATAACTGCTTTGAAGTTTTGTACAGCCTTTGTTCAAACTGAATGTTTTAAGTTGGTTTTCATTTTATGAATATGTATCATTAATTTAATTTACAATACAGAAACATATTGTTAATCACATTTAGATAGTAATTACTGTACATCTTCATCTGTATCTGTCTCCATTTGATAAACCACCACAAGTCTCAGTTCTGCAAGAATAGAATAGGAGTAAAAAACAGAAACAGTACCAACTCCAATATTTACAACATGGGTACCCACACTTTTACTTACATTGGGCATCTTCTAGGCCCTCCAGCATGATTCTGTAGTGTGCTTCTCCTGGAAGTTGACCACAGAGATGTGATGGAGGACCTAGAGATGATTTCTCTCGGCATTTTCTAGGTGTTCCAGCATGGTAAGCTTCCAGGAGAGATTCATTTCAATATAATTCACTATTATCTGCAGTTTTGCATTTCTATAATTCCAGGAATGTATCCCACATGGACATTGGACTCGAACTGTAAGAAGTGACCAGATTATGGTTTGTGAATAAAGTATATGTCTGTCTATTGAACTAGTCATGTTTTTCCTAAAGTGTAAAGGTTTACAGCATTTGGGGCATATACAGGAATCATTTATATTGATGCATTGTTACATAAATTTATTTGATGTGTTTTTAATTATGCATTTGAGGTATTATTTAATGGCTGCATGGGCTGGTAGTGATTGGAACAACTGTATTAGATTGAGTTTGTTAGTTGCTTACATTTGTGTATTAAGAAAAAAATGTCTGTTGTATTTTTGTAGGGGGGTATGGTCCTTGTCTTTTGTGAAATCTGTTTTTTTTTTGGATGTCTTTATTTGATTGTAGGTTTGTTTTGCTACATAAAAATAGTTATTAAGAAAGAGATTCTATTTAATGGCTTGTAAAATGTAAGGTTCTATGTTACTCCCCTACCAAAACTTAGTAACAATTTGCTCTGAGGTTTGGGGAGCAAAGGAGAAGAAATGATAGTGGTTACATTTTGGGATGTGGGAAAGAAATGAAACAATGATAAAAAAAGGCAGTCTGCTTTTTTTTTTTGTATTAAAGTCACCCAAAAACAAATTTATGCAATATTTATAGTTTCTTTGTCAGGATACAGTTATAAGACAACAACAGCAAACAAAAAAAGAGGAAAGCAAATAACTTCTCGGTCAATCAAAAAGGATTTTGCTTTTTTCTCCCTTTGATAAAATCTATTTGAGACACCGAGGACAAAGATTCAACCATGATTGTTTTCAGTAATCATGCTAAATGTAGGAGTAGTATGTGCATAATCCTGTTACAGGGCAGATGGACCCAATGACTTCAAGGTCCTCTTCCAGCACTGATTCATAACATTTAAGATGAGTAAAAATTAAGGGTTTTTTCAGTCTTTCAGATCTGTTAAGAATATACCACTGTTCTGTTACTTCCCACAACTACAAGCCTAGTTTTTCCAGTAACCAACAACTTACAAGTATGTAGGGCACACTTATGTAGCAACGTCCATGTTATGACAATCACTACAGGGAATCAGCCAGTCCATTTTCTTTTATTGGCTTTATTACTGTGCATGAACACAATGCACAAAGTATAGGGAAACAATCAGAGCTTTGGCACTTTTAACCAGTTTAACAGCAAAGAAATATGTTGGATTTCCAGTTTCAGTTTGGAGATGTCTACAAAACACACAGTCAAAGTCCAATCCTAAACATTCCTAAGGATTTTTTTTTTTGCAATTTTAATTGGAGTGGCATTGCAGCACATTCAGACAATTCTCTCAGGGAATGTTGTGCCAGTCAGTGCTCAACCTACCTCACAGGATTACTATGGAAATACAACAAATAAAGAGAAGTAGAGAGAGAGGCGTTGAGAGAGACAGAGAGAGAGACAGAGAAAGAGAGCTTCATATGCTTCGATTGAGGTCCATGGATGGGAAAAACAGGATATAAATGTCACAAAAATGTCTGGGCTGTAAATAACGAGCAGACCCAAACCCAACACAAAACCATGGCTGCCTCACCTTCTCACCAGAGATACTCTTCAGATACTGTCTTCAAGAAGGTGACAGATCTCACTATCACAATTTTATGTTCTTGAGATCGGGAAGAGTTTTAATATATAAGTAATAAATAAACAATGGCTATATTTACATTCACTCAAACCTTCTGTCCTATTGGTTACATTTATCCACAAGCATTACTAAAATGTCTGCCAGAAAAGTGATTTTTCTGCCAAATTAAACCACAATCTTCTAATTTCAGTATTTTGCCTGTAATTCAGAAGAAATATTTTGCCTGCACTTCACAAGTTTTGGCTAGCCTTTCAAAAGCTGTTTGAGAACTGTGCCACAGACACTTGTATATTAGAAAATGCAACTGTATCTCTTAAGATGGAGCCATGATTGGAACTCATTTGGATACTAGTTTGCACGTGGAAGCCTTGTGCCTTATGGCTCTAACAAGGCTTCCACAACTATGTGCTACATTCCATTCCTAACACTGAAATTGTAGACAATATGCAACTACATATAAAATAAATCCTGTTGGAATACCTATCTGTTGTGTTTTAAAACCAGAACAGGAGTTTATGAACAGCCAAAAGCCGGCCAGTGAGCTTACCGGAATTTTTTTTTGTTTCACAGTAAAGGTTTCTCCTGACAATAAGTCTACTTGTGTCTGACTCTGGGGGTTGGTGCTGATCTCCATTTCTAAGCCGAAGAGCGGGTGTTGTCCATAGACACCCCCAAGGTCATGTGGCTGGCATGACTGCATGGAGCGCTGTTACCTTTCTACCACAGCGGTACCTATTGATCCATTCACATTTGCATGTTTCAAAAGAGGTTGACAAAAGATAGGCAAACCCTATTTTCAGTCTTGTGTCGCCCCTTAAAAGGTTATAACTGTAGGCATGTACATAAACATTTGAAGTAGGCAGAGCTTCAGATCTGGGGGATCCTGGGCAAGTCATACTCAATGTCCCCTTCTGCAGGGCATTTGGGACTTCAGGTGTAGGTCTGCTGTAACTATCAGAATTTCTGGTGCTGGGAAGGAAGCATCAGTACTTACTAGAGCTAAACCTATAGTGCAGGGGCCAGAATAATGCAGTCTTCTAGATGTTGCTAAACAGCAACACTCCAGCATTCACCACTGGCAAGGCTGGATGGGGCTGCCAGGATTTAAAATTCAGCAGCATCTGGAAAGCCACAAAGTCCCTGTTTTCATGCACTGACACTTGACTTCTCAGTCCATTACTATAGCACGATTAGTGCATGGTTGCAACTAACCTGTATTGTCATGAGTGTGTTTACCTTGTAGCAGGGGCTCCCTGACTCATTCTAGTGCCAAGAGGAATGCAATGCAAATCGGCCCTGGTGAGATATACTCACTTGGTGACTGCCAGATGTGGGACCATAAGTTGTTGATGGTGGGCCTTCAAGTTTTTTATAACTTATTGTGATCCTAAGGCTTGGGGGGAAGGTAACGACACTCCATGCAATCATGCCAGCCACATGACCTTGGAGGCGTCTATGGACAACACCACCTCTTGGGCTTAGAAATAGAGATAAGCACCCCCCCCCCCACACACACAGAGTAGGACACAACTAGACTTAATGTAAAGGGGAAAGCCTTTACCTTTAAGATGAACCTATTAAGGGTTTTTTTGGGTTTTTTTGGAACTGAGAGTATATAACTTACTCAAGGTCACCCAGTGGGTCCACGGCAGGGAATTGAACCCTGCTTTCAAGAGTTGTAGTCCAATGCTCAAACTGCTACATCATGCTGGCTCTTATTAGGCTTGGTAACAAAAGGTCTGTAATAGCAAAAGAAGCAACCACAATTCCCCAACATCTTTTTGCTTGGAAAACAGTGTGGGTGTGTTTGTGCCAATCATGGCCCCATACAATTTTTACACTCACTAAATCATGAATGCATACTTATATTTATTAGATGTATACAATTTTGAAAAAGTATTCATTAGCAACACTTGCAAGTTACCAGATATGTTTGCTAGTTAAACTGTTACACAGAGATCATCTGGTAAATGGTGCAACTGGATGAAACAAAATAATGTGTAAGAACAGACAATAACCCTGGTACACATAAGGCCAAGGTAAACCAATAATCTGTTGTGTAGGGATGTATTGCTTTAAAATTTTTGCATCCAGTAATTATTAATATCTGTCCTGGACCAGAATAATGGGGAGCAGGAGAGCAGTAAAGTTTTTTTTTCCTATTTGGAAGAATAAAATACAATCAGTTTTCTAGTTACATATACAGTGTTGGGTCCTCCATCCCTTAGCAGCCTCTCCAAACTTGTGAAAATGCTACACAGAGGTTCAGCAGACTTTATGAAATCAGGTAAGCGATGGAGCTAAGGCCAGGATGGACTTCCCCAAATTGGTAAGAGGTAACCCCTGGGAGCAGAGCCCCCTTCAATTCAAACATGAATGTAAGCCATTAACAAATGTTTTCCATATTTTCATGATAGAATACCAATGATGAAACTTCTTTTTGGCACTCTTTCTGGCAATGAGTCTCTTGGGAATGTGGAGTGACAGACAAGTAAACAAGAGATTTAAATTTGGAGTTCTGATTCAAGAGACCGGATTTATATAAGTGGAGCAAGGTACCTGTCAGAACGCTGAACAACACTGTAATATAACAGTACAGAAAGGGTAAATACATCAAGACAGATGAGATTTATTATTTCCTTTTTTTGTGAAATAATTACAGTTCAGAGCTGCCTTATGTCTTCACCACTGTAGAAGAAGAAGCTTGAAAACAGGTAAGCTGCAACTGCATGCTACTCTTGAAAGTGTTTAGAAGCTCTTCGAGCAACCTGTTAAAAAGAACGTTTCAAATATGGTTATTATTTTTTAAAGTAAACATTTTGGATATGGAAATAATCTACTAAATTTTACTGTGGGGGATGGTAGGAATGGAAATGGGCTTCATCAAGTACTACAAATATAGCTTTCAGCAGTGGAGTAGTATTAGTCTGATACAACAATCAAAGAAAGAATCAAGAGGCACACATTTAGTACAGTATACGTTTCCATGGACTTCCATCTACTTCACGAGATACTTGCTGTTCTAATTTTTGTGAATGTTTGTGCTGTTGTTGTGTGCCATCAAGACATTTCTGATTTATGGCAACCTAAGAAGAAACCTATCACAAAGGGGTTTTTTTTGGCAAATTTTGTTCAGGCAAAAAAAGTGGCCTTTGGTTCCTCTAAAGCTGAGATGGTTTGTGCCCCAGTAGTTTCCATGGCTGAGGAGCCATTCAAGCCCTGGTTTCCCAGTATTTTAGTTCAACATTCAAACCACTACACTATTGTGTTTTCTCTGCATTTTGTTTCCCTCATACCTCTTGGTTTACAATACCAGACCCTGAAACTAAGTCACAATAACACTTTCATTCATCTTATGAAGTAGATTATAGACCTATGCTATAACAAAAACTTGAAGCACCCTAAAAACTCTTTGACATTAACAAATGGAGCATATGTGGAGTTGGAAAGAGATTACAAGTGCCGTACCTGATCTTATCTATTACTAAGGATGCCATTTTAGTTTCCAATGGATGCACATGCAAGATTTCTGGATAAAGAATGATTCACAACAAGGTCATTTCCGATGTGTTCAAATGCCATTATTTTAAAAATCAGATATGTATGTTCTTCTGAAGAATAATTGCACAGACAATAATCTCGTATCTTGCAATATGGAGAAAATGATCATTACTAGGTCTGCAGTGATGTAGGATACTAACTTAGATATGAGCCAGAAATGAATGCTGCATAATTTATTCCCAAGCACTTTTGTTCCTATTTTGGAGGCAGGTGTGTGTATTATATCATTTTAGGGTGAAGGATCCCACTGGCTCTGGCAATGAGCTATCTCTGCTCTCGAGCATGCACATGGCTGGAGATGAATAGCAGATTTTATATATGTCTTCTTGACATGGTGTCCCACAGATTTGTAGAGAATTACAGTTCAAGGAAATTGAGACATATAAAAACCAGTCAATGGATCACTGAAGTACTTTCTTTTTTTCCATATAATTTTTATTGCAAAATACATGAGGAATGGGAAAGGTATTTATTTATTGTGTCAGACGCAAATTGAGAATACAGGCATAAAGTATAAAAAACCACGAACAATGTTCAAAACTTGGCATTATACTAAATTTCCTTAAACTAGATGCTGGCCACTTCCGAGTGCCTCTGGTGTTGCTGCAAGAAGGTACTTCATTGTGCATGTGGCAATGCTCAGACTGCATTGTAGTAAGTGGTCTGTGGTTTGCTTTTCTCCACACTCACATGTTGTGGACTCCACTTTGTAGTCCCATTTCTTAAGATTGGCTCTGTATCTTGTGGTACCAGAGCGCAGTTTGTTTAGTGCCTTCCAAGTCACTCAGTCTTCTGTGTGTCCAGGAGGGAGTTTCTTATTCGGTATCAGCCACTGATTGAGGTTCTGGGTTTTAGACTGCCACTTTTGGACCCTTGCTTGCTGAAGTGTTCCTGCAAGTTTCTCTGTAGATCTTAGAAAACTATTTCATGATTTAAGACATTGGAATGCTGGCTGATATCTGAACAGAGGATGGGCCAGAGATGTCAATGCCTTGGTCCTTTCATTACTGGCTGCTACTTCCCGATGGCTATCAGGTGGTGCAATACTGGCAAAACAGTATAATTTCTCCAGTGGTGTAGGTCGTAGGCATCCTGTGATAATGCAGCATGTCTCATTAAGAGCCACATCCACTGTTTTAATGTGGTAAGATGTATTCCACACTGGACATGTGTATTCAGCAGCAGAGTAGCAAAGCGCAAGGGCTGATATCTTCACTGTATCTGGTTGTGATCCCAAGGCTGCTTTCGTATATTATTTCTAGCACCCACTTTTTACTTGATAATCAAGCAGTCATTCTTGTAAGTCAGAGCATGGTCCAGAATAACTCCCAGGCATTTTGGTGTGTTGCAATGCTCCAATGGGATTCCTTCCCAGGTAATCCTCAGGGCTCAAGATACTTGTCTATTCTTAAGATGAAAAGCACATGTTTGTGTTTTAGATAGATTAGGAATCAGCTGGTTTTCTCTGTAATAGGCTGTAAGAGCACCTACAGCTTCAGAGCGATTCTGTTTAACCATTTCAAAGCTCCCTGCTTGAGTGGTGATGGCGCAGTTGTCGGCATAGATAAAACTCTGTCCCTTCTAGCAGTAGCTGATCATTTGTGTAAATGTTAAACATTGATGGAGCAAGCACGCTCTCCTGAGGCAGGCTATTCTTCTGTTTTAGCCATCTACCTCCCTGACTCTGGGATTCAACAAAAAAGCTCCTGTTTTGTAGCAGATTTCCTATGAAGCAAGTAATCCTTTGTGATATTATTAATTTTTCTCTGGAGAAGGCAATGATTTACTGCTGACAGCTCCTTTAATCTGATGCCTTTTAAAATCATCTTCTATGTGCTGCCTTTTAAAACCCATCTTCTATGTGCTGTGATGTGCAGCTTTTCCCTTTTCCGGAACCAGCTTGCTGTGGAATTATACATGGGTCTATTTTTTCTGTAATTCTATGCAGAATAAGACTCTCCAGAACTTTATAAAGATGGTACAACAAGGAATTTTTTTGCAGTTGTCTATATTGAAATCCTGAAAATTTGTAACTCTTGTAACTGGCTTGGATTTTTTTTTTAGATAAGCTTAATTTTGTTGTCCAATACATACCTGATTATAGGTGAGCCATTGGTTTCCCCCTCTCTATCTGATGGAAGGCTTCTTTGGTAGATGTCTTTGGAATATGTTTTAAGTAGAGTCTTGATTTGTGCTTTTTATTTACTCTGTCTAGTGTATTTATTAGCAGGTAGCTCTTAAAATTAGAGTCAATGTTTTTCATATATTATGTATCCATGCCATCCATATCTTAATTCATAGCCTTCTAATGTCAGTAGTCTTTTATTATCTAGAGTTAGCCATTCTTTCATCCAAACTAGAGCTGCAGCTTTGTAGTATAGTTTAAGGTTTGATAGAGCCATACCCTCTCTGTCTGTGACATCTTGCAATTATTTTTTCTTATTACTTGTTTTTTGCCTTTCCAAGTGAATTTGCTAATATATTTGTTTCATTGTCTGAAGCAAGTATGATTTAATAATAATACCATGTGTTTTTTTTGGTTGCGCCTTGGCTTGTTTTTCTCCTTCTGATCTTTCCTCTGAGTCTAAATCTCTTTTAAATTTCTCATAGAAATCCTTGGCCTTTATGACTGATGTTAACCAATGTCTTTGCCCCTTATATGATACCATCACCCTCCTGGATTTTCCCATCGGAACTTATAGCCTTTCTTCTTGAGCTTATCTGTCAGGAAGACGTAATCTTTCATTTTCTTTAATATCTGAGGAAATTCTCTTAGTATAGCAATCCTGGTATTTCCTATCGCAATTGGATCTTTGGCATACACTCGCCAAAGATCCAATTTGGTCTCTTACTTTCTTTCATGCAGACCACACGATCACATCTCTTGGGAGTTTATTCCTTATTGCACATTGAGAGTGGATTCCTTTCAGTTTCAAGGAATATTCTCTTTCTGAATAATCCAACCTCTGAAGTTGGGCTGAATCCCTCTGGAAATCCATCTGCATCTTCTTTTGTGTTTGGATTTACAACAGATTGAAGAGTTTTAAAAAAGTGGATCAGAGTAGCTTCTGTCTCCTTGACAGCAATTTGCTGGGGAGTGAGGATGCAGTTCCCTCCTCTCACCCTCTCCTCCTGTTCCAGAGAACTAAAAAGGGGAGGCAGGATCTGTCGAATTTTGAGGGTTCATGTCTGTTCTTTTCTCCTTTCTGAAGGGGAATTTCTGACTCTTAAACAGTCATTACTATCCCAGCGATGCCCTGTGTTCCAGCCAGCTTGCTAGAATGCAGCTTGCCACTCCATCTTTCCACCGGAAGTTTCAGTGAAGTGATTTTCAAGAAATGTAGGTCCTCTAGATGTTATAAGCCTTCCCAGAAGAGCTTGTTAGAACAATGAATGTCAGGATTACCAGATGTTGACATCCAAAAATATCTGAGAGTAATACTGCATCAGCCAATATGGCTTTAGTTTATGGTAAGTTCATACAAACTGTGTGGCATTTAACCAGTCTTGTCAGGGTTCCACATAGTTCAATAGTTATTTTTTTCCTTTGATGGAACATTGACTCATTGGTCATATCAGAGAATAATTAAATATTCTATGAATATTTCATACGAGAAGATAGTGCATAAAGATGAACCTTTAGAAAGGGAGAATAACTTCATTTTTAAAAAGTACTAAGGAGAAAAAGTAAAATAAAACATTCCAAACTCTAAGAAGAAGAAAACACTTAATTTTATATTAAAAATGTTGAGTTAGTCTACAGGCAACCACCACCAATTTCCTCTTGAAAAAAAAGGTAGCATTTATAGTTGCAGTAAATTCCACAGCTGTATAATCTTTGCCAGGGCCAGCGAGTAAAAAGACATAAACATGTCAGTATCTACTTCCTCAATAACACCCTCCAGGAAAGGGGTATGAGTACAGCAACCACACACAGTCAATATTTAATAAGTCAATATTAAATATAATATGTCACTGGCAACATGAACAGGTCTAAATCATTCCATAAATTTGAATTCATTATTTGAAACGCTGGAATGAAGTGTGTGGTGATCTTGCAGATGCAACAGCAGGGTATATAAGCAAATAACAAGCAGCACTGAATATAACCTTTCAACACTTGAGCCAGCAAGTTGTATTCAGGAGGAAACTCAACAGGGTTTTTTGTGTGCCAAACTGCTGTTGAGGCAGCTGGAAACAACTCAAATCCCAAAGTTGCATCTGGAAATGTAAGCATGCTGAACTACTATCATCAAAAGAAAATCTCTCTTTTGCTTAACTTTGGTACAACGGGGAAATCATAGAGATGAAGCCAAAGTGATAGTGAGATGAAGTGGATACTAAGTTGCATTCAGATATGGAAAACCCACAGAAATATCTCTGCTTACCTGTGGAACTGTTTTGTGTGGTTTTGCATAAAGTCAGTGCTATTAACCTAATCTACTGCACACACTTCTTGGAAAGATAAACAGCAGAAGAACCATGCAGAATGTACATATAGGAAAGTGTTATAATCAATTTCCACCAAGTTCTCCAAAAATATAAAATGTTTAACATCAAGGATTTTTAGCAGCTATTCTTTTCATATAATAACCCTTCTCAATATAAAGAAAGCAAACTTACTTTTTATCTCCAACACTTGATAGCTGAGGCAAGGCTTCCAGAGCTTGCTTAAAGTTTGAGCTGTAACATTAAACACATATTTATCCATACACAATTTGCACAAAGATCTCTTCACTCCTAGCCTCTGTGTCAGTACAGATATATTTTTCGATGATGTACATTCTGGAGTTTTGTCAATTCTTACAATAATAAAATGAAAACAAATTAGATATTCTCTCCAAAGACGGATCCAGCTCCTCTCTTTCACTGCCTGTTCCTGCAATACTCTATTTGCCATGCTTTGTGCTACGGTGCCATTAGAATTCCTAGGGCTGCTTTTTCTACCAGTGGTTCTCAACCTGTGGGTCCCCAGGTGTTTTGGCCTACAGCTCCCAGAAATCCCAGCCAGTTTACCAGTTGTTAGGATTTCTCGGAGTTGAAGGCCAAAATATCTGGGGACCCACAGGTTGAGAACCACTGTACTAGATGATGGAACTGCTAGGAAGGACTGTGCAATGGGCGAAGAAATCAAAACTACATAGGGCCCAGAACAAGTATTCATGTTATCAGCTAGTTTCCTCCTTCGATATGGCTGCAATACACAATTTCTGGTTGTGGATGTCTCACACACCAGCACTTCATGACCGCAATGCAGAATAGCAACACTGCACAGCATATATAATAATAATAATAATAATAATAATAATAATAATAATAATAATAATAATCTTTATTTAAACCCCGCCACCATCTCCCCCAACAGGGACTCGGGGAAGCTTACATGAGGCCAAGCCCAAACAACAAATTACAATAAAATAAAATTATAATAAAATAAACAACATATACAATAAACAATATACACAAAACATTTTTTAAAAAACAGTAAACCAAACATAGTGACAGTGAGCGGACTGCATGTACATAAAATGATTTAAAAACTCAGGGGGAGATATCAATGTGTTGTTGCTGTTGTTTAACGTGCAACCACAGTACACATTCACAATATGTAAGGTTGCTGTATGCAAACCTTTATTCCCACTATAGTCACAATACATTCTCTCCTGACGTTTTGTCTACATCTATGGCAGGCATCCTCATATGTTGTGAGACCTGACAATGTTTCTAGTTATGTCAGACGTTATGCCAGACAATGTTTCTTGTTACAGAGAAGGATGGTGGAGGAGTGAGCAAGAAAATCCAATTTCACACCAGGCAGTAGGCCAGCAAGGAGGGCTGCTTGCCTCTTCTGTAGCTATCATACAGCAATTAAAAAAACAAACAAAACAGAAAGAAACAATTGGGCTCATTACAAGCTTAAAGGCTCCTTTTCCCTGTCTAGGATTGGGAGAGAATCAGGAGTTACAAATTGGGAGCCTTGTATTGGGAATGTTGACGAACCTTGTGCTTAGTCCAGTGAGATGGGCCCACTTGACCAAGGGCAGATGGGTCGAACCCAAGGTCCATGGGCTAAATCTGGCCCGCCATGTTATTTTATGTGGCCTTCCAAATGCTAGATTACAACTCCTGCATTCCTCATCATTAGACGTCATAAATAGAGTGGACTGGAGTTGTGAGACAGTAACATCTGGGTGGCTGCAGTTTGTTCTGGCCAGTCAGGATAGTGGGATTTTAATTGAGATACAAGACTTGCGGATATGACTGATTTTAAATTGTCCTTTAATCTTTCGCCAACCTCAGAGCCTCAAGTACTGTCGGGTTGCAATTCCCATCATCAAAAGTGATGGGAGTTGTTATTCGATAACATTTGGAAAAATGAGGTAAAAAGTAAAGAGCACTGACCATTTTGTAGAAAAATATATAGTGGTCCTCTGTAACCACTGATTTTCCGTCCCTGGATTTAACAGCCCTTAGAAGGCAACCATAAGGTTGATGAGGTCCTCAATGAAAGTAAGTTTGACACCCTAGCTTAGGAAAACCTCTCTGGCATGGCACAACTGCTTCAGGGAGGTTGCAGATTGCCCAGGGCATTTTCATTTGCCAGGCTATTCTATTCTGGTGAGAATACCAGATTTTTACTTTTGTGAATATTAGCTGAATCCATCAATTGTTAAGGGACGCTGTCAGTCTTGTTGTACTCACTTGCTTTCAGTTGTAAGGAATACAGCGACAGCATCTCTCAGTGCACAAATTTCAAGCCGGGCCTAGAGGACAGAAATGCCAAAACATCACACAAGCCTATTTATACCATGAACATGTGATTTCACAAAGCTTAAGAGTCTACACAAGCAAAATATATTGTGTGCTTATGCAGCAGCAAAGCAATAAAACTGTCACTGCTGAAAATTTGTTTCCTGTGTTGGAAACAGCAGTCTCAAAGCAGCTGCGAGGCCAATTATAGTTTTGGGAAGTACAGGGATTAAATATCTGATTATTAGGAAAATGTCTATTCATTTGTTGATTTACATGCTAAGTATATATATTTGAAGTTGTTTATTATCAAAATCTGACCTATAAAACAAATGCTTTGAAAATAATTTGCACTTAACATCTTAAAAAAACAAGGAAGCACTAGCATACAATCTTACCAAAGAGGAAGGAAGTGCAAGAGGGTGACATCGGTCAATATGCCTTTTGTTCTTTTATTTTGCTGTTGCTGCTGCACAAAACTCTTTTACCTTCCCCTCTAAGAGCATTTGACATGTGTTATTTTTCAGATGAGTGATTTTACTGCACCAATGTTTGTAAGCACACACTTCACCTTATGGTATGCAGTGGTAGTTGTCCAAAGCAACGTCCAATTCAAAAAATGAGGCATATCCCAAATGTATTTGATAAATGCTGAGTTTGGTTTTGACCAATCAATAGACTATGCAATACATGAGAGGCTTTCCTTAATCCAGAAAACTATGGATTTTCAGGAAATATTTACAATGGTGTAATGTGGCTTCAAGTCACACAACAATTTATGATGATTCCATTATTTTCACAAGGTTTTCTTAGAAAAGGGTCACTCAGAGGTGGTTTTATTCTCTGAATAATTTTTCATTTAAAATACTATTGAGGAAAATAACATAACCTTCCTTACGGATGGAAATTCTTTTAGTTCTCAGATACTGTTTGGTTATAACTCTTTTCCCTCATCGCTTGTTATACTGGTTAGTACTGATGGAAGTGCCATCCAACAACTGGAGAACCATGCATTCTCTGCTTTACCAACAGAGTGCCAAGTAAGAGAAATCTTCTTCAGCCTCCAGGCTGTGATGGGCTGCCATTTTGTTCATCCGTAACCAGCAGAGTCAGTTGGCTGAAGATAACTGCTGAAGCAGTTCAACACACCTGGAGAGCAACAAGTTGAGGAAGGCTGCACCCGACGAAGGGCAACCTGAGGCTGGACTTTATCTTCCATCATTCTTAGCCAGGAGAGCCAATGATGAGGCCTGATAGGAACGACAGTCCAATAACTCTCCCCTATGAAATGCAGTTTATCAAGGGGCAGTATACTGAAGAATGTCCCTTTTCAGGATCTAACTCAACTGCAAAATCATATTCTATTTTAAATTATCTATAGCAGTGGTTCTCAACCTATGGGTCCCCAGATGTTTTGGCCTTCAACTCCCAGAAATCCAAACAGCTGGTAAACTGGCTGGGATTTCTGGGAGTTGTAGGCCAAAATACCTAGGGACCCACAGGTTGAAAAATGCTGATCTGTAGGTATACTAACATTGGAATATCACTGCCACATTTTCTAAAATATATCTATCTGCTGAGGTTGAGACTCATAAGCCCTTATACAGTTGCTAGTCCTAAGAAAAGGAGACCTTTTGCACCAATTATTGGATTCAATGAGTTGGCTCTAGTTAACATTAACTGAATTTAGACTATAGAGTGCCAACATAAATCACAACCTTTAACGTTGAATGTTGTGTATTTATTTGCTTTTATGTTGTTATGTAGCATTGAATTATTGCCAAACTGGAAGCCCTACGGGGTGGAGATAAAGCGGGGTAAAAATGCAGCAAATAAAATAAAAAATGTACTCTTTCCTCTTGTTGCAAATGCCCATTTACAAAATGCATCTACATAAATCCTTTTGCAGGAATCCTACCTATGATAATTTCTGCACCAATATGCTTATTGTAGGTTTCTTGGGAGTATTTGTGGTGTACGGTTTATCTATAAAATTATCCAGCTTTATCCATATTACAAACTTGTATTGTATAGGCCAGGCCAACAGCCATGACATCTTACAAATAATTCTTGGAATTGTTGTTTTGGTGGCAGCACAGAGACTGCTATTAAATATATCAAACCACACAATTCTAAGGAGTCCCTGGAATGAAGGAATAATTTTTTAAACCAGTAAAGACAAGAAATATACTTTTTCTCTTCAACAACCCTACTTCCAGAACTCAGGTACCTGTAAAGCACCATTTCTACTGAAAGATGAAACACACTGCATGAGTCTGTTGAGTTCTTCAGCAACTGCTTCGACAATCCTTGACAGCACTCGGGGAACAAGTTCTTTTGAGACAGTGAACACCTGCAGATTTCAAATTGAAATCATTACATTTAGAAGCCTGGATTTAATTTCTCCCTAAAGAGCTTATCAGAACAATTATCTAATTCATGCAGACTATAGTTGATTCCCAAAGTCTGTAAAATAGGTAGAAGAAATGGCTACCTACTAGGGATGTGCGATCCATTTAAAAATGGTTCAAAAATCATTACAAAACTAGGGGTTGCTGGCATTTCATTTCTAAAGTGTTTCTAAAGTATAGTTAGTGAAAAATTCATTACTTTAACAAGAGTAACGAAATTTTGTTACTATTTTATTATAGTGATTTGCATAACTACTATAATTGGGGAACTTCGGGAGCTCCTTTCTCCCTCATTTTTAAAGCTATTGGAGTGAAACTTGCTACAATGGTAGAACACATTTACCACTATTACCCCACCGGAACATTTCACTTATCCACAGATTTTTGGGGAATTTTCAAAGTTTTTATAAACAACATTAAAAAAAAAACAAGTACAAGAGCTATCTCCTTGAATTTTATATATAATGCACAAGATAACCAGGGCACCAATCCCCAGAAGTTTCAGAAAGATTCACAGATTTTTTTGGGATTTTTTAAAAGTTTAGACAAAAACAATTAATCCCCCCCCTCCCAAAAGTGACAACAGCAATCCCCTTCAGTGTCTGTTAGTCTTTATGACACACAACCACATAACTTCAACTTAGCACAGATTTAAACTATTACTTACTTACTTTCATCCTCTTTGCAGATTCAATAAATTATGATTGGACTGACTCTAAACAGCTGGCTGCTACAGCCCTTATTGGGGCTTTCTGATGTTGAGCATGACATTCTGGAAATGTAGTTTAGGGCAGGGCCTTTTGCATTCTCTGCCACAGGGGGCCTCGTCTTCCCAAACTACATTTCTAAGAATGCTGTGTTCTCAGTCTCCCGCCCAAGTTTGCTATTTCTGCCCTCAGTGCCTTTGCTTATGTCGATCGGGCCAACTAAAAAAGATTGGTTTTATGTTTTGTGTTCTCTTGACTTTACCAAAGTTGCTTAATGCTTATACAGAAAATTAAACTGACCTTGGTAGGCACCCGAATATTAGAGAATCTTAATGAAAATGACTGGTGAGCATGCACCAATCTAACGAATCTAATGAATTTGATCTGAAAAACAAATTAAAAATGAACATTTGTGCTCCCCAGTACCTACAATAACTTCTATTCCACTCTGAACAGTCTTCTTCTTTCTGCATCTCTTTGCTCTTCTTTCTTCTCTCACTAAAAGATTATGTGTTGCTGCTAACATGACAGCACCCAAGTAAAATAAATCTCATTGTTGTCACAACCCACCACCAAACAGTCCAGTCCATTTCTTGAAATTCTTTTTAGTTCTGAAAGTTTAGTTCTGAAAGGGAAAGTTTTAATTTCATCAATATGTTCTGAGTACTAGAAAGCGAAAATCTGAAATGGCCTCACCTCCGCATGTACAGCAATGATATGTACTAAGGCTTCTTTCAAATAGTTTCTGACACCTGTAATTAAAAACATGAACATGAAATAGCAGGTTATTTCCATTTTTTTGTCGCAAAGGGATGTCTTATTGGTAAACATGATTTCTTGTGGCATGTGGGCCTTTCATTCCTTCAAAAAATCAGCTCTGACGGGGTACCAGAATACAGAAAGTGAAAGCTTCTCCCAAACCACACCACTATAACCTATTTCCTCTTTGAAAGCAAAATGGAGAAAGGGACATTTCCTTAAAGCAAAAGGTTAAAGAAGCCAGACGTTCCTAGTCTGGCATCCTTTCTTCCTTCTTAGTTTGGTTTTTTGGTGGTTTGTGTGTTTTCTTGCAATTCCTTAAAACAATGGAAACAATGTTCTTCTAATAATCAAGGTGCACTTACATTAAATTTCAACTAACTTAATGAGGGATAAAACTTCAATCCATCTGCAGTGTGAGTACAATGTTACACAGGTGTTACTAAACAGCAGAGAAGGAATATTAGAAGGTTTAAGTGATGGCTCATGCTATACCTGTTTTGTGGATAATTTGCTTTCTTATTATTACAGAAGAAGCAACAAAATGAATAGGAGAAGAGCCTGTTTTGTGCCACTGTCTAGTAGCTTTCACATTTTGTTCTTAACCAGAAAAGTGCTTAAAAGTATTGTTTTTAAATAAAAAATACAACTGGATAGGTAGGTAACTAACTTATAATGGATCTACAGGCATATGGCATTTTTACAGTAGTTAATTACTTTTAGCAATCAGGTTTCCAAATTCTGCAATACTTTAAGTAATATTAAATAAAGACAATTTTTCAAAAATAATTTGCCCTATTGCAGTATTAAACAGAAGGATGAGCTTTGAAAGTGGATTAGATGTGGAAAGTTTCCATCACAATTCCTTGTTCAAATCACCAAGATATTTTAGCATTATTATTTTCATACTGTAGATGCACAAGATGCAGTTCATGAGGAAATGTGAGCATATACTGTGATCATGAGCACATATCTCAATACATTTGCCATTTATTTAACTAAACCAAAATTTAAAGAACAAAAGTGTTAATAGTAAAACCAGGGGGGAGATTAATACAGAAAACTATGACAAGTGGGTTTTGCAAAATTATAATTTCTTTGGACTTCTTCCCTTTAAAAAGTGTAATACATTTTAATGCTACTACTGTTTGCCTTCAGCCCTAAGAACACTCTATCATTGAGTTTTCTTGGCAGAATTTGTTCAGAGTGGTGTTGCCTTTGTCTTTCTCTGAGGCTGAGTGTACTTTGTCAAAGATCACCCAGTGGGTTTCCATGGCTGAGCAGGGATTTCAACCCTATGTACTCCAGAGTGGTAGTGAAAAGCTCAAACCACTTCACGGTGCTATTTCTCATTAATTTTATACATAAATAAAATTAAATCTACGAAGAGGAAGCCATGTTTCAGCATTTAAACTAAGTGTTGGGAAGGAATATATCTATTCCTCTCTTTCTATATTTCCATCAGGTATACATGTTGACTATTAACAATTACTTTGAAAACATTAAGCTATAGAGCTCATGGAAGAGTTAATATCTTTCTGTTGCTGCTTTTTTTTCCGCTGGAAGGGAACTGAAAAGCTGAGCTTGAATGTGAAAATAGAAAGTGTTAAAGTAAGGCAGAGCTATGCGTTTGCAAGTAGAATAGAAAGATATTGTTCTGAGGAACTGAGATTATTCACATGATAGAGTAACAGGAGTGATTTTCAGGGATAGAGTACAATACTTTTGGGGAAAATGTCTACCGCAGTGTTGGTTTTTTAAAAAAATGACACTTGTTCCCAATTTCCCCCAAAGGATCTGGGGGCAATTCTGCCCCCTGTAACTTTAAGCCCAAGTGTGTCTTTTACAGTATGAAATGACTTGGACATTGAGTTCCTGGCTACTTTCTATTATAAATAGGTCTATTGTGTGTCTAACAAAGTCCCGAGAGAGCCCAAAACATTATGATATTGCCTCCTACAAACATTTGGGGACAAAAAAAAATTCAATTTTTTCCTGGTGTTGTGTGGTTTTCCAAGGTCTGGGGAGAACACTGTTGTCCCTAACCTCTGATATATGCTCACTCCCAGACACGGGGATTAATTCCTCTAAGGAAAAGGCTCAATCACGCTCATAGTTAGAACCCTCAGTTTGAAGATTGAATGGGCTTATGGGCTGCAAAGAAACTTAAGCTCAACTCTCTAAATTCACAAAACTAAATCTGTGGTTCTTTGAATTCCCAACTGAAATTTGAGTATCTTTATATCCCATGGGAAAATTTAGATATTTGAGTGAATGTTTCCAATGGAAACAATTGGAAAGTAAAGTTCATTTAACTTAGGTTAGATGTATTCGCACAGGAACCATTTTAAAGCATAAAGGTGTTCCCAGACAAATCAGAGTGACTGAGCTTTAAAACAAGGCACACATGGCTTGTGTTCTTTGTCCTTACATTTATTTATTTACCCTCCTGGGTCCAAAATTTGGAAGTCTCAATGGACAAAATTTGGTCTTCAGGCCTATGGAAGGTGTTCAGCACTGGCATAAATCAATTCCTAGCTGGATGGATAAATGATCTGAGAATCAGCATGCATTTCTTATATTCCACACCAGAGGCAAAGACTACAATGTTTTTTTGTTATCAAATAGAGTGATTCGGTTCTTGGTCCATGAACTCCAAATCATTACTACTTTCATGTTTACACGTTATTCATAATCTTTAATTAAATACAAGCACAGGAAAGTAAAGAGACAGTATCTATTTTCACTATATAAAGAAACAAACCTGGAAAACAGATTTTCCCTACAAACATTTATATGACTTATAAATATGCAGCATATCACACACAAATGATTTCAGCAGAGTTGAAAAAAAATCTGTCAAAACTGTTTTCTTAATAGACTAAAGCAGAAATGGGCAAAGTATGGCCTGTGGGCCACATATAGTCTCTCCATGTGACTAAAGGACCATCTGCAAGACATATGGCATATCCAGAACATTATACAAAGTTTAATAAAAACATTTTGCAGTACACTAAAAATCAGTACACTGAGCTTGGATGAACACGCTAGTGCATCAAGGCTACTACTAAGACAGCCCGAATATCTAATCTCTGAAATGGTTTCCTGCACTTTTGTCAGAAATCTACTGAAGAGTTCAGGACATAGAGGAGAGATGGAGCACCTTTCACTCTCTAGTTGGAATTTATGGAATATTAACACATTTTCTCATTCTTCACAAGAAAGTGTGTCTTGATGACAAACTGGCAACTCCATTTTAAAAAAGGTCAATCACTGCCAGATATTTTGTCTTAAGAATCAGCGTGAAAAACCCATGATTTGGGGGGACAGATGGACCAAAATACAGTTTCACTATACTTTATGTAAAAGAAACCATAGCTTTTCTACAAAATCCATACTCAGTCCGCTGCATAACCAAATTTATTATAGAAGCTGCCCACATGAGAAATTTCTATCTCACACAAAACAGGGTCTCTTGTTATGGCGATGAACTTATTTAAAATCATTTTTAATTTAATGTAATCAGATTTTACCAAACCTATTATTTAATCAAGTTTTAAGTGCTTAAATGTATTTTAGCTAACTATTACAGGAGTGTTAGGATAGGGATTTGTGTTAATATTGTGTCTTTGAATACTTGTCTTTTACTGTTGATATGGATAAAGAACTAACCAATAAACAAATCTATCTATTGGCTGCCGTTTATACAGTTTCCTGTATAAACGGCAGCCAACTTGCCACATTTTCTGGAATAAGACATGCAGGACTCCTTTGAAAGTGAAAAAACATGAATAATGAAATTGCTATTTCTTTTTACTTGAGAGAAAATCTCTCTGGGAATGTCTTGTTTTTCCAGCATGTCACCATGGTCAACTTTAGGTAGAAACCGACTACAGAAAAGCACTGGAGGACACAGACATTTTTAGAGAGTTGTTCTCTCTAGAAATGTCTAGGTCCTCTAGCATGACTAGAGGAAGTTGATTATAAAATCACATTGGAGGACCTAGAGATAATTAGAGAGAACATTTTAATCAAATTTATGAATAATCAAATCCGTAAAAGTCGAAACTGCAAATGTGGAGGGATGACTGTACAATGTTTTTGAACTTTTTTTGTTTTGCAAAAAGGTCCCAAATACAAAAATCATCTGACTAGTCATAAAATCAGTACAGTATACAGGAGACTTCTGAAATGTTTTTGTTCTTGTTTTTGAGAACAAGGTAACCAAAGGTTTAAACCTCTACTTTTCATATGTTTTGTATTACTCTCTTTTACCACCTGATGTGCTGGGTGAAGCTCATGTGGTATGTCAGTTAAAAGATGTGAGTGGACAAAAGTTCCCCCTATCCCTGCAATACAGAATAAATGTTCCCTCACGAGAACCCCTTATTACTTCTCAAGGAAGGCTTGTAGCATTGTTTGCACAGATGAAGAATAAATCTTAAAACAGCCTTCTCAGAATAGATAGATGCAGAAGGAAAAGATGTTTGCCAAAACCCATGTAACTTATGGAAGTATTTTAAGATTTTAATCAAATGCTGGGTTAGGGCATGGAGAAGAAATGCTTTCTGGAGTTTGGGTTATCCACTGCATTGTGAAGAGCCAAAATTGATTATTGGGTGAAATGGATTCATGCCACAAAGCCAATTAAAGTTTCTCTTATAGTTTCCTCCTAAGCACATAAGTGTTTGAGCATATCTGAGGGTATCAGAACATTTTTTTAAAATTATTCCAGCAAATTGCCACATTTAAGTCCTAAAATATAGTTTAAAAAAACCTTCAAAGAAAGGATGAACTCAATGACATACCTAGCTGAAATATACACAGGTGCAACATAAATTAATAGCAGCCAAGAAAAAAATTTTTTTGTCGTGCCAGGAGCAACCTAAGAAACTGCAAGTCACTTCTGGTGTGAGAGAATTGGCCGTCTGCAAGGACGTTGCCCAGGGGACGCCTGGATGTTTGATGTTTTACCATCCTTGTGGGAGGCTTC